CACTCTCACTAGGGAGGATTAACTTCACCTCACTTTTGGTCCTTGATATGTCACAAAATGATTTCAACACTTCTTCATTTCCCAGCTGGCTTTTCAACCTTACTAGCCTTAGAAAACTTGATCTACAATGGAATTCCTTCAATAGTCCTCTTCCAGGAGAACTTGCAAGCCTCAAATTTCTAGAATACCTAGATTTATCTAATTCAGGCGTCAAAGGTCAAATTGCCAGAGTCAGTGGAAACTTGTGCAAGCTAAAGGTGTTACGTCTTGGGGGCAACGATTTTCATGGTGAGGGAATGGAAGAGTTTTGGAGGGCTTTGTCAAATTGTCCAAATAATACAATATTGGAGTTAGATTTGTCTGGTTGTGGACTGGAAAGCGAATTGGCGGCCGGGTTAGGAATGTTAACAAATTTGCAATTTCTTTACCTTAGCAGCAACAAGTTGTGGGGATCAATTCCAGAATCTATTGGAAGCTTATTGTCCTTGAAATACCTGGACCTCTCTGATAATCATATGAACGGGTCTATTCCAGAAGGTCTAGGAAAACTCTCTGAGCTAGAAGTACTAGATCTAGGTGAGAATTCATGGGAAGGCGTTCTAACGGAAGCCCATTTCATAAATCTCACAAGATTAAAAGCTATTTCCATATTCAACTATGATCCCAATTCCCTCATTTTCAACATCACTTATGATTGGGTTCCTCCTTTTAAGCTCCGTTCGATTGACATTAGACATTGCAAAGTTGGACCTGCTTTTGGGGTATGGCTTCAATCTCAGACTGAACTACAAATTATCACCCTGAGTAGCACTGGAATATCAGATTCTATACCAGAGGAATGGTTGTTGAAGCTATCTTCCCAACTCACATACCTGAATTTATCTTACAACCAATTCCGAGGAAGGCTTCCATCAATTGAATTGAGATTTCCGTATTTACATTCTATAAGTTTGGATCATAATAAATTTGAGGGACCACTCCCACTTTGGTCCACTAATGCCACCATCCTTGATCTCGAAAACAATTTATTTTCAGGGCCAATCCCTTCGAATTTTGACAAGCTGATGCCCCAATTGCAAGAACTATATCTTTCAGAGAATCATTTAAATGGTACTATTCCGCCTTGTATTTGCGACATGCATTACTTTGCAGTTCTTTCTGTC